ATATGAACTCAGTTAAATGACCTTGCTGTCCATGAGTTCTCGTAGCTCAGTGGATAGAGCGCCCGTCCAGTGTTCGGGAGGTCATGGGTTCGATTCCTGTCGGGGACTCGGAATTTTTTCTTTGTCCCACGCTCGTGTCATGTTGATTAATTCACCTTCACATTTCATTACCGAGCTTAAAATTCACCATCTTTATTAACTTATGAGTACTCACAATGAATTCGATAGCATTGATCCTAGCAGTATGCAGGACACCTATCATATATGAACTCAGTTAAATGACCTTGCTCTCCATGAGTTCTCTAGCTCAGTGGATAGAGCACCCGCCCGGTGTTCGGGAGGTCATGGGTTCGATTCCTGTCGGGGACTCAACACGTTTCTTTGTCCCACGCTCGTGTCATGTTGATTAATTCACCTTCACAACAAAAACATAGTATTAGATAATAGCACAGCATATACAGAATGACAGCAAACATAACTTTCGTTCTTTCACAGATGGCTGCCGGGTTTTGAGATTCAAGCCTGCTATGGAGGGATATTTTCTACAAGGTCACGTGTTAAAGACTTTTATGGTAGAGACTGAAAGCACGTGTGAAATAAGGTGCTTTGTGGAACATGGCTGCGTGTCTTATAATGTTGGACCTTCACACGAGGACGGCATCTACATTTGTGAATTGAGTCATTCTGATCATAAAATGCACCCAGAAGCACTAGCACGTCGAAATGGATTTACTTATCGAGCGACTGAGGTAGTTTTTATTAAAATACACGTATAAAAGGCAGGAATTTTGAAAGATCTACGCCACTTGAACAAAACTGGCGAGAGTTTTATATTTAATCGACCAGACAAAAAAAAACAAAAAAATACATCCTGTATAGAATCACAACAAATAAGTGTTTTTTCTTCCTCAGATGTAACAACACTTCACAGCTTAAGAATTTAAGAAGCAAACCACCAGACGTTCGAGTAACAAACGGACAAAAACTTTGTTCCGAGATTATTTACATCGTTAGTAAACTTCTGTGCGACTGTTTTAAATAATATTATCTCCTCAAAAGAAATCATTTCTAACTACACCAAACCGCGTCGAAAACAATTTTTGTGAAACACTTGTGAAAGACTTGATAGTACTGGTGAAATGAAACTTGGGATAATATTTTACCCGTGTTTGCACAATTTCTCTAAACTTAACAATAATGATAATAATAATAATAATAATAATAATAATAATAATAATAATAATGATAAACTTTATTTAAAACTGAAAGACCGATCAGCGAAGTCTGGGAGGAAGACGCTGGTATAAACCAATGATCAGTATCTATATATTACATCGTAAAAAACAATAATCAATCAAACAATACTAAAAAAATAAAATAATAATCTTAACACTACATTTATGATCAGTCTTGTTTAAATCACTAAAAAAAATTAAAAAGTTTAGTTTTAAAAATTTTCAGACTACTGCAGTTTCGATGGTCGTTTGGGAGGTCATCCATTCCTTGGCAGCAGCGTACATGAATGTGGACTGGCCCATAGCAGTTTTAGTTCTAGGGAGGTGAAGTTCTCTGTTGTCTCTAAAGACCTTACCACGGAGGTCGAATCGTAACACAAAATAAACTTAGAATTTTTTTTCTCGAGTTCTCAGGCAACTATTTGTATTTTTAGCTTTAAAAAAAAATGCAAAAAAGAATTGTAAAATACCTACAAATATTCTGGTGCAAGGTTTTTGTCCACTAAAAACTGAAATTACTCGATTTCCTACCGGATATCGTCATAAAAACTGTGGAATCACTCGTTTACCGAGGGAAAGCTTCAGTTTCCGTATATACAAGAAGGGGGCCAGACGATATTCCCCGTATGATATCGAGAGGCGTATCTTATTTGTTTAAGTAATTGCCGTCTCATTTCCTTTTTATATTATTATTCTTTTAGAACGCCTGTGTGAAAAATCCCTGTTCTCCAAATTTAATCTGTCAGAATGGATTCACCGAGAAAGGATACCGGTGCGTAAGCAAGACTCAAAAATCTCAAGGTAATATGAAGTACTGGCCGAATCTGCTAATGATAGAAGTTGTTCCAATTCATTCTTCAATTTTGATTTTGTCTGTTAATAAAGATCCGAAAGAATACAAACGACAATATTTTGTTCTATTTTTAAGGTCCGGTTTTGCGGGCAACATTTTTCTTCAACTTGTCTCGCAACATTGTTGCATTGCAAGTTGAAACACATTGTTGCGCGTATTACCGCGTTTGTGACCAACTTGTCTCGCAGCAAAATACAGTGTTGCAAGTTGAGGCAATATGTTGCGCAAAGTAGACTTTTTTTTTTTTTTACATTTTGGCCACAAAGCCCTATGGAGGAGCTTCAATAAATGCATGAAATATGAATATAAAATTAATAGCAACCAAGGTAATACTGCCTTTTCTTTTGCAGACATGTTGCACCTTTCTTTATGTTTCGGCCTAAATCATTTGTCTTTGCTTCACACTTCTCAATATCTAGTACAACAAAAATAAACAGTAAAAGGAATGAGATAATTCCTTTTAACTAAACAATTAATTATCAAAACTGACCTTAAAGATTTTTTTGAAAAAATATTAAGAAACTTATGTTAAAAAAGACGTCCCAACGTTTAACGAACGTCATTATCAAGTCAAAGAGACAGTTTTAAAAATACTAAATAAAACAAGAGTTATTCACAGAAAGATTAAAGTGGTAAAAATGTTCTTTCAGACAAAGAGTTTAGCATGAATGGAGTCAGCATGTGTATTTAAAGTTATGCATGTTTTTTTTTTTCTGAAAAACATCTCAAATACGAAGCAATCAAGAGTTTGCCAGCGCAACTGGTTTTCTTTGACAAGACTTTTTTCGCCCTGCACTTCCATGAAGTGTTTACCAATCGCCGAGTTCTTGTGTTCATTTATACGTTCGCGAACAAACAATTGACAAGTAAACAATTGACTTTTTTTTTACTCATCTGAGCTGCCGCGACAGAAGACCCAAGTTGAACTGCAGGCCAAACAAAGAAGTACACTACTGGTGAAGTTCAAAACTAGTTCCCTAGGGCATTTTTTTAAAAATATGGTCTAAATATTCCAGCGTCGGTATACTTTTATGCAAGAACGACACACTTCGTTGACCTATTTATTTATTTATTTATTTAATTTTTGTTCCCCGGGTATCATCGCCATCCCCTTTCCAAGCCACTCACGATTTCTCTTCTAAACTAATCCAGTTACATACCGGGTTGACATAATTTAACGGTCACAACATTTTTTTTTCTTTTATTCTCGATTGCAAAATCTATTTATATTGCTATGGTTAATCATGGTGATGATGACGATGATGAGGATGACAATAATGACGATTACGATGTACATTACGTGTGCTCATACATTACAGTTACGCCTTAAATGCATTGCGTTCCCCTCACTGAGTGCAGAATATTGGGTGGGTAAATAAATGTCATTATGTAATTTCTACCGATTTTTTTGTAATATAATTCAAAGCATGAAAGTTTATTCTTGAACTTTTTCACTTCCAGACTTTCCAAGTTCAATTTCAAGTGAGCCAGCAACCTCAGGCAAGTCAGAGAGGGCCACTACACCAAGTGGTAAAATTACTATGACATATTTCTGCAGGTTCCTTGAAGTTGAGGCCGGTTTAATTTGGTGTTACCTAATACAAGTACATGTACATTTTTTTTTTTCAAGATTCAAAAACATCACGTTCAAGTTCAAATGCAATCTGAACCCCCAAAAAATGTTTCTTTCACTTATGTACGATGAAAATGACGATAGCGATATCGTGTTGAGAATGACAATGACTATAACGATAACGATAATGACGATGACAGTGACGATGCTACATCACAGCTACGCTCTCACCTTAAAAATATTGCGTGCTCCTCACTGAGTGTACAATTTTGATCAATACTTTGCTCTTATATCTCGTTGTATCCTTAGGCGAACCATAACGCGATTGTCAACGATTTTTTTAATTGAAAGCATGAAAGTGCATTATTGAACCTCTTTATCTTTAGGATTTTCAGGTTTAATTTCAAGTGAACCGAAAACCTCAAGCCAGCCAGAGAGAGCCACAGGTTTAATTTCAAGTAAACCAAAAACCTCAGGCCAACCAGAGAGAGCCACTACACGAAGTGGTAATGTTATTAAGACATCTTGTTGCAATGTCATTAAAGTTAGGTTAAGGCGTTTCATACACTCTCTACGTAATACCTGTACTGTTTATTTTTCTTCCAGACCCAAAAACATCACGTTCAAGTTCAAATGCAACTTCTACCACACCTTATGGTACGAAGTGTCACTTTTGCTCAAATTATCAAGAATTACATGCTTTTGTACGTCTAACGAGTTGGGGAGGGAAACGGGAGGGAATCGTAGCGGTTTAGTAACTGGAATGACGATGTTTACAGACAGGCGCTCTTGAGCTGTCCGTTTATCAAGTTATAGACGGAGAGATTCGGCTTCCCCACGATTAGCACATTTCTGTTTTTGCAGATTTCCTGTTTTGGTATTTGTAGAATATCTTATATAGCTAAGAAGTGAACGAAATTATTATTATTTTTTTTTATATAACAGTACTATTAGTATTTTTCTGAAACTATTTATAACTTTAATTTACATTTGCCTACTTCTCCGTCGCATCAAATGGAAACTTTGAATTAATTCCTCGGTATAAAATTCATGTTTTATATGTTTAGTTTCGGCATTAACAGTAGCGTTACTGTGTGAGGGCAATTTGTCTTTAACATTTTCTTGTTCTCTTTTGTTTTTGTTTTTGTTTTGTTTTGTTTTGTTTTTTTGTTTGTTTTTTGTTGTAATTGTTTTTTGTTTGTTTGTTTTTTGTTGTTGTTGTTGTTGTTGTTTTTCTTTTGCTGTTGCATAATCGCCACACTACTTAAGTTATCTTCCACCTTTTTCCAGGGCCAATGGTAAATTCCACTATAATTATACTTATATACCAAGCTAACATCATATAACATGATGATGATGATGATGCTTTGCCAGCCCCTCACTGAGTTTAGAATTTTTCCAATACTTTGGTCTTTAATTTCACTTTATCCTTTCAATAGATGCCATA